CCATGGGACCAAAACCGCTCTAAGGGAACCACTGACCCCCTTACTACTGAGGTCAATGGCTTCTTTTCAGTCCTGTGTTTTGGTCTCTCTGGTGTGTTTTTGTCACCTCAGTTAGACTGAAGTTAGCACAGAAAAAAGGTTACCCTCTACCCTAGGCCTACCCTGGGTACACCTGGGCCTCCTATGTACTCAGTAACGGTTGGCTTAATACGTGGCCTGAGTTTTAATGTCTGTGATCTCGAGATGTCATCTCACTTCCACGGACGTCTACTTTCTCAGATATGAAAGGAAGGTAAACAATGTGGGGGTCCCTTTCTTTTTTCCTTCAGTTTCTCAAGTGCTCACCTTTATGGGTCTTGAGAGGGTTAAAGAGGTCTCCATTTTCAACTGAGCATTCTAAGCTGTATCCACTCTATCACCAGGCAATCTCATGGCTTTCCACTTTTTCTTTGGTCCTTGGGCCTAAGCCCCAAAGCTATTCCATTGCCTTCTGTTGTTTCTTGGCTCAGAGCCTGGCTAAGCGACCTTGAGGAAGTTACGTCACCACCTTCCAAAGCTACACAAGTGGAATGAATGAGAGCTGCCCAAGACAAGCCAGGAAGCGTTCCGAACTCCTGTGAGATCCGTAACCTGCAGGAACTTGCGCTACATTCCCATACTTCAGTTGCGCATATTTTATCTTCACAACATTTTCCCCCTAGAGTTGATCCCCTTCACCTCCTTAATCATTTCTGTTTCTTGTACTAAATTCCCTCAAGTCTAAAATTCTTTTTTCCTAGAGCTGCAGAAATCAGAACCAAACAGTATCCCAGATGCCACTTCCTACTCCAGTATTACAGGGTTTACAGAAGGGGAGCGATCATCTTGCTAATGGCTTAGTGGCATAAAGATCCCATCAGTCAACAACATTCAAGTTTCTGCTCTCATCTGCAGGTCAAAGCTTCGGGTTCTCCCAGCTCATTACCCCAATACTGATCGTCCTACATTTGCTTACTTGCTCACTGTCTCTGTGAGGTGTCCAACCCATCCGGTCAAAGGCCTCAACATGGCACGGTCAACCTCTGAAATTAAAAGGGGGAAGGCGCACCCACTTTGTGCACATACATACCTAGAGAGCAGTCCAGTGCTACTCACCTGAATGTCAGATTAGCCAGCAAGCCATTAGAGATGCATCTAAATGATGTAGGGCAGAGTTCAGGGAAAAGTCAGGAGATAAAGGAAACGCACAGGCCTCAGACTGATTAAAAAGATAATTTAGTTGTGGAAAATAAGGCTGGGCTCCAGCCAGGAATTTGTCTTTGACAAAGATAAACCAAAGGATCCAATACGGTCATGTTGGGGGGATTTAGTTGTTCTTTCAGAGGAGGTGAAGAGCCAGAACAATGCAACAATCGGTTTCAAAGTGCAGCTCAACTCTCCCCCCCACCATGTTTGCTGTTCCGCTCATAAACACACAAGCTGTTTCCTTTCATCTGCACAGGTTCTTACAATATGGAGATCCACAATAGGTTTAAACCAGATTTCAAAATGAGGGGCCAGCAGGTGGCAGAGTAGTTAAGGCGCTGGGTTTCCACACAGGTGACCGCAGTTTGAGTGCTGGACCTGGTGGCTTGAAACTCACACTGAGAAGGTGTGAGCACGTGGCCAAAATCCCGAGGAGAGAATGGAGAAGGGATTGTGGTGTGGCCATACCCCCTAGGGGGTGATTTCTCTCTCTCTCTCTCTTGCTGTGTCTCTGCCAAGTGCATGCATCCTAAAGCAAAGATACGTCTTTAAAAAAAATGAGTGTGCAGAGTGGTGGTCAAGCCAGAGATCATCTGGCCTATGTGAGGATCTTCTGAACTGGCTCAAACTAAAGAAAAAAAAAAGAAAGAAAGCAACTCTTTAAGACCTAAGAAATCAGCAGCCTTACCAGCAGAAGGGAACGGGGGCGGGGAGGGGGGCATTTCTTACCCAGATTGTGAAATCCCATAAAGGTGTTTTAGATGTTTAATAACAATGTGGAAAGGCTTAATTTCCACATAGGAATGGAAAAATTCCTTTTTCTATGGGTGGCCAGTTATATAGGGGGGTTGACCACAGGGGAAGAGGGGAGATGGAGATGGGGATGATGCCAGACACTCCATTTGGACCTGAAACTGCAACTCCAAAGGTTTTGTGAAACTCCTTGCCTGAAATACTGTTTTGATAAATAAGCCATATCCTTGTGGAATTGAAATCTCCAACTGTTCCACTGGCACGGACATCTCTGCAGTGACAGCACATGCCCCAGATTGTGGAGTTAACTTGAATTAAATTTCAGATGTGGGGAGCTAAAGGAGGGGGTGGTGGCAGTGGGAGGTTTATGAACAGTATGCCGGGGCTCTGATGTTGTCATAACCAGATGGCTTCAACTGTATCATTTAAAACAAAAACAAACACATCCAGAAATAATAGAGTGACAGCAGCCCTGAGCAGCTTCACCTGTACCTGAAATCCTAACAGCTTTGTACCCGCAGTGGAGCCCACGTTCGAAACTCCAGAGAGTGAAAATCCAAGGAGGCCTTCATCTGGCCGCTTGCTAGGTGCCAGGTTTGCTACCCTCTTGGGTGCTTATTTCCAGAACACACCAGCCCCTGACCCACAGCTTTCTGTAAGGGGAAAGGAAAGCAAATCTGAAGCCTGGTTGGTCCTTCTGGAACCACTGAATAACAGGCCCTCTGAAGCACTTTCTAGAGCTTTGTTCCTGCAATTCCCAAGGAAGGAAGTTTTATCTCCCATTTTGTACCTAACATTTCAGGAACTTCCTCCAGTTAATTACTAATCTCTAGGATGTTACTTTAGAAGATCTGTCCTCCAAGAGCTGTGTGATTTTCTTTTTTAAAGATTTATTTATTTAATTCCATTTGTTAATTTTAAAAAATATTTTATTTAACTTTATTTATTGTTATTATTATTTTCCAGTTTGATCAGACAGAGAGAGTAAGGAAGGAAGCCACCAGGTCCAGGACTTGAACCATAGTTGGCCATGTGGGAGTCCAGTGCTGTTAGCCACCATGCCACCTGCCAGCCCTCATTTGTTAATTTTTAAATTTGTATTTAAATAATTATTTTGTTTAACTTTATTTATTTATTTTTAATTTGACCAGAGAGGGGGCAGGCAGAGAGGGAAAGTCAGAAAGCAAGTTGCCAGGTCTGGGCTTGAACCATGGTCAGCCATGTGGGAGTCTAGCATCCTTAGCCACTATGCCACCTGCTAGCCCCGTTAATTGTTATTTTTTAATCTGACCAGAGAGAGAGAGAAAGGAAAAGTGAGAAATCAAGTCACCTGGTCCAGGACGCGAACCATAGTTGGCCATGTCAGAGTCCAGTGCCTTAACCACCATACCAACTACCAACCCCAACAGCTGTGTGGCCTTAAGCTGACTATTCTTCGGGTTTCAGCTTTTCCTACTTTAACAGAGAAGATGCTATCTATCACCTGTTCTGGCAAATGTACCAAGTTGTTGCAAAGCCCAAATAAGATCTGGTGTATGAAGGTTAGCTGACATGGAGAGGAGACTTGGCGTCTGCCCCGGACCCTGGGTCTATGTGCTGTCTGGAAAACTAGGACTGAGGTGGTACAGGATAGCAGCCAGCACATGCAGAACTGGGCACTTCCTCGCATAGGATGCTCTGGAGGAAACTGGGAAGTGTGCGCTCATCAGAGGGAGCGAGAGAGGAAACGTGAGAAAGCATCTCCCATGGAGCATGGTCATGCTGCAATCCTTTTTCCATCTCTCTCTCCTTTCAGGATTTTGGGCACATATGCATATGGGCCCAGCATGTTTTTAAGCCTCCAGGTCCTGGATTCGAACCGTGCAGTTGGCCATGTGGGATTCAGCCACCTTAACCATGCCACCAGCTGGCCTGTGGAGTGGTTTCTATTAAACATCCTGCCTTGATTATATAATAATAGATCATATTCTTCCATTCTAGGAGTAGTGAGATACATGAAAATTGGGAAATTTGCCAAGGCTGACGTCCACTGAAGGGTAACGGAAGGTAAAACAGGTTAAAACTCCACCTAAGGTCAAATAATAAAGCCATTGGCCAAATGGCTTTTCCAGTGTGTGCCATGGTCCTGTGTCCCCAACGGTGTTAGGAAAAAGGCAGACGGGAGTCCTAGTGCAATCGTGCGAGCTCACCGGGAGTTCAGACGTCAGCTTTTCTGGAAACACAGCAAGTCAATGACAGAACCAGTCAGAGACAGTAATTTCCCTTTATTTAATCTCCACATTCATATCCTCTAGATCTTTTTATATTTAGTTAGAAAAGGAGAGCTTGGGCATTAGGTCTTCAAATATACAGGGTACAGAAAAGCCCACTACCATGACTTGCCTTGGCAGAGGCAGGGACTGCTCCCTCATTAGGATGTGGACTGTGAAATGCTCAAGGAGAATGAGAGACTGGCAGATGCTGAGAGCCCACAAAGGAAACTGGAGATTATGGAGACCCAATCAATCCCTACTACTTATCAGACATTCCAAACATAGTCTCTGCAAACAGAAGGCTCCAACGAGGCCTTCAAAATCCTTTACGCAAGGAACTCAGACCCAAGAGACCGGCCAAGTGAGTGAAACAAAAGACCAGAGATACCACACAGTACAAAATAGTAATTATTTATATTTTCAAAAAGAAAAAATTAACATTTGGAAGTTCTCCCCTGTAGGAAGAGGGGCTAGTGGGAAGGACAGGACTGGCTCCTACGCAGGTGGCAAGTCAGGTACGAACAGCTGAGCAATCTGGGCTGGGATTTCTCACACGGCATTAGTAATAAAATTTCCTTTCATCTTCATTTTGTTCTGTTTCTGTTTTGCCTTTTTTTTTTTTTTTTTTTTTTTTTAAAAAAAAGGCGGGGGGGGGGGGGGAGCAA